TGCTTTTTGTGGTGGTGTTTCAGCCTAGCTCAGTGCTTTTTGTGGTGGTGGGGCAGCCAGCTCAGTGCTTTCTGTGGTGGTGTTTCAGCCTAGCTCAGTGCTTTCTGTGGTGGTGTTTCAGCCTAGCTCAGTGCTTTCTCTGGTGGTGTTTCAGCCTAGCTCAGTGCTTTCTGTGGTGGTGGGGCAGCCAGCTCAGTGCTTTCTGTGGTGGTGTTTCAGCCTAGCTCAGTGCTTTCTGTGGTGGTGTTTCAGCCTAGCTCAGTGCTTTCTGTGGTGGTGTTTCAGCCTAGCTCAGTGCTTTCTGTGGTGGTGTTTCAGCCTAGCTCAGTGTTTTCTGTGGTGGTGTTTCAGCCTAGCTCAGTGCTTTCTGTGGTGGTGTTTCAGCCTAGCTCAGTGCTTTCTGTGGTGGTGTTTCAGCCTAGCTCAGTGCTTTCTGTGGTGGTGTTTCAGCCTAGCTCAGAGCTTTCTGTGGTGGTGGGGCAGCCAGTGGAACATACAGAGCGTAGGGGTTGGTAATGTTCTCTTGTTGCACTGTGATTGGCTCAGTGTTCTGTCACTCATGGGGACACTACGTCACCGCCAAATCTAAGGGTTGAGCTCGAAAATTCAAGCCCCTTGGGTGAAAGTAATACTAAGTGTATGTTGTGCAGTAAGCTGTTAGTAGCCCATGTGCCTCACCCTAATAATTTGGTCCCTTTCCCCCTCATAATTCAGCCTACTGTTCTGACTTGGTGGTGCACATGTAGCCTATAGCCTGTTTTAGAGAAATGTAATCATCAACTATTGTATTACCAGTACATTACCAGCAGTTAAACTATAGAGTACATTACCATTCAGGTAAACTAGAGAGTACATTACCAGTACCTTACCAGCCAGGTAAACTAGAGAGTACATTACCAGTCAGTTAAACTAGAGAGTACATTACCAGTACCTTACCAGTCAGTTAAACTAGAGAGTACATTACCAATACATTACCAGTCAGTTAAACTAGAGAGTACATTACCAGTCAGTTAAACTAAGAGTTACATTACCAATACATTACCAGCCAGTTAAACTATAGAGTACATTACCAATACATTACCAATCAGTTAAACTAGAGAGTACATTACCAGTCAGTTAAACTAGAGAGTACATTACCAGTCAGTTAAACTAGAGAGTACATTACCAGCCAGTTAAACTAGAGAGTACATTACCAGCCAGTTAAACTAGAGAGTACATTACCAGTACCTTACCAGTCAGTTAAACTAGAGAGTACATTACCAATACATTACCAGTCAGTTAAACTAGAGAGTACATTACCAGTCAGTTAAACTAGAGAGTACATTACCAATACATTACCAGCCAGTTAAACTATAGAGTACATTACCAATACATTACCAATCAGTTAAACTAGAGAGTACATTACCAGTCAGTTAAACTAGAGAGTACATTACCAGCCAGTTAAACTAGAGAGTACATTACCAGTACATTACCAGCCAGTTAAACTAGAGAGTACATTACCAGTACATTACCAGCCAGGTAAACTAGAGAGTACATTACCAGTACATTACCAGCCAGGTAAACTAGAGAGTACATTACCAGCCAGTTAAACTAGAGAGTACATTACCAGCCAGTTAAACTAGAGAGTACATTACCAGTACATTACCAGCCAGTTAAACTAGAGAGTACATTACCAGTACATTACCAGCCAGGTAAACTAGAGAGTACATTACCAGCCAGTTAAACTAGAGAGTACATTACCAGTACATTAACAGACAAGTTAAACTAGGATAGTTAAAAGAGAGTACATTACCAGCCAGTTAACTAGAGAGTACATTACCAGTACATTACCAGCCAGTTAAACTAGAGAGTACATTACCAGTACATTACCAGCCAGTTAAACTAGAGAGTACATTACCAGTACCTTACCAGTCAGTTAAACTATAGAGTACATTACCAATACATTACCAGTCAGTTAAACTATAGAGTACATTACCAATCAGTTAAACTAGAGAGTACATTACCAGTACATTACCAGCCAGGTAAACTAGAGAGTACATTACCAATCAGTTAAACTAGAGAGTACATTACCAGTACATTACCAGCCAGGTAAACTAGAGAGTACATTACCAGTACATTACCAGACAGTTAAACTAGAGAGTACATTACCAGTACATTACCAGCCAGTTAAACTAGAGAGTACATTACCAGTACATTACCAGCCAGTTAAACTAGAGAGTACATTACCAGTACATTACCAGCCAGTTAAACTATAGAGTAGATTACCAGCCAGGTAAACTAGAGAGTACATTACCAGTACATTACCAGCCAGTTAAACTAGAGAGTACATTACCAGTACATTACCAGCCAGGTAAACTAGAGAGTACATTAAAACCCACAGTTAACTAGAGAGTACATTACCAGCCAGTTAAACTAGAGAGTACATTACAGTTTCATTCCAGCCAGTTAAACTAGAGAGTAATTACCAGGCCAGTTAAACTAGAGAGTACATTACCAGCCAGTTAAACTAGAGAGTACATTACAGTACATTACCAGCCAGGTTTAAAATAGAGAGTACATTTCCAGTCAGTAAACTAGAGAGACATTACCAGGTACTACTTACCAGCAGTAACTTAGGTACATTCAGTACCTTACCATTCAGTTAAACTAGAGAGTACATTACCAGTCAGTTAAACTAGAGAGTACATTACCAGTCAGTTAAACTAGAGAGTACATTACCAGTACCTTACCAGCCAGTTAAACTATAGAGTACATTACCAGTACATTACCAGCCAGTTAAACTAGAGAGAACATTACCAGCCAGTTAAACTATAGCGTACATTACCAGCCAGGTAAACTAGAGAGTACATTACCAGCCAGGTAAACTATAGAGTACATTACCAATCAGTTAAACTAGAGAGTACATTACCAGTACCTTACCAGCCAGTTAAAATAGAGAGTACATTACCAATCAGTTAAACTAGAGAGCACATTACCAATACATTACCATTCAGTTAAACTAGAGAGCACATTACCAGTACATTACCAGCCAGTTAAACTAGAGAGTACATTACCAGTACATTACCAGCCATTTAAACTAGAGAGTACATTACCAGCCAGGTAAACTAGAGAGTACATTACCAGCCAGTAAACTAGAGAGTACATTACCAGCCAGTTAAACTAGAGAGTACATTACCAGTACATTACCAGCCAGGTAAACTAGAGAGTACATTACCAGTCAGTTAAACTAGAGAGCACATTACCAGTACATTACCAGCCAGGTAAACTAGAGAGTACATTACCAGTACATTACCAGCCAGTTAAACTAGAGAGTACATTACCAGCCAGGTAAACTAGAGAGTACATTACCAGTACCTTACCAGCCAGTTAAACTGTAGTACATTACCAATACATTACCAGTCAGTTAAACTAGAGAGTACATTACCAATCAGTTAAACTAGAGAGTACATTACCAGTACATTACCAGCCATTTAAACTAGAGAGTACATTACCAGTACATTCCCAGCCAGTTAAACTAGAGAGTACATTACCAGTACATTCCCAGCCAGTTAAACTAGAGAGTACATTACCAATCAGGTAAACTAGAGAGTACATTACCAGTCAGTTAAACTAGAGAGCACATTACCAGTACATTACCAGCCAGTTAAACTATAGAGTACATTAGCAGTACATTACCAGCCAGGTAAACTAGAGAGTACATTACCAGCCAGTTAAACTAGAGAGTACATTACCAGTACATTACCAGCCAGGTAAACTAGAGAGTACATTACCAGCCAGTTAAACTAGAGAGTCCATTACCAGCCAGGTAAACTAGAGAGTACATTACCAGTACCTTACCAGCCAGTTAAACTGTAGTACATTACCAATACATTACCAGCCATTTAAACTAGAGAGTACATTACCAATCAGTTAAACTAGAGAGTACATTACCAGTACCTTACCAGCCAGTTAAACTGTAGTACATTACCAATACATTACCAGCCAGTTAAACTATAGTACATTACCAATACATTACTCTTACCAGTACATTACCAGTCAGTTAAACTACTGAGCAAATTACCAGTACATTATCAATCAGTTAAACTAGAGAGTACATTACCAGCCAGTTAAACTAGAGTATATTACCAGTACTTTACCAGTCAGTTAAACTAGAGAGTACATTATCAGCCAGTTAAACTATAGAGTACATTACCAGTACATTATCAATCAGTTAAACTAGAGAGTACATTACCAGCCAGTTAAACTATAGAGTACATTACCAGTACATTATCAATCAGTTAAACTAGAGAGTACATTACCAGTCAGTTAAACTAGAGAGTACATTAACAGTACATTACCAGCCATTTAAACTAGAGAGTACATTACCAGCCAGTTAAACTGAGAGTACATTACCAAGTCCCTTTCCTCTTGTGAAGCAACCAGTCCTTTGCTTACAGCACACCAGTTTCATATCCAAGGTCGTTGGAACTAACAGTGAGTAAGCCCTACGTATAGAGACAGATAGGTGCTTTTCTCCGTATCAGGGACTTTTCCTACTGAGTCGTATCTAGGAGAGTACTTATAAACCAATGTGGACAGAGTCTACCACTGTCATGATCAAACCTTCGGGCAACAGAAACTCAGAGAACACCACTGACAACAGCATTGTTAGTAAAAAACGTGTTGTGGTAAATGAGAAATACATTGAGTATTCATCGTGTTTAGAATAAATAGCCTTGACCTCCCTTGGCTCTGGGTATACTCAGTAAATAGGTGGCGGTAATTGAGCCATTTAAGTGGGTGACAACCATCATGAACACCCAGAAGAAGAAGACTTTGACGTCAATAGGTGCGACTAGAGTGTTATTGATGGGTAAGCAGAGAGGGGGGTTGGAGTGAATACACTTCAGGTTAGCTATGAATTCACGATTCAGTAATTTAATGCCAAATGAATACTGTAATTCCAGCGACGTGGGGCTAGTGGTGCTATTCTGGATAGTGTACAGTCCGTTAGCTACGAGATGCACCAGCAGGTAGATAAAGGTACGTAACCGTTTTCACAAGAGACAGACCATTGGTTCCATTATTAGGAACGTAACTTATCCAAAGTACCAGACCATTTTCTAGAGTACATATATGTTAAACTGAAGTTTGTTATGAGCAGTTAATGGTTTCTGACAGGCCTAAAGTACGTTTTGATTTAAAAAAATTCTTACCAGACATTCAGATGTATACGAGCAAATAACAAAAAACAGATGACATCGTGTAATGGGGTTCAAAACAAGAATTAAGTAAAAGTATTGCAGTACTAAGTATTCAGGTTAACTAGAGGTAATTCCAGTAATTTAACCAGGTAATAGAGAGCTTACCCAAATAAATAAGTCAAGCCGGTAAATAGGGTAATACCAACCTTTTTAAATTCATTCCAAACATTGGTTAAAGGGTAACCTTTTTTTTGGATTAATTCCAGTTTTAAGGTTTGTGAAAAAAATTCAACCATCCATTTTTTAAAAAATTTTTTCCCCCCCAAAAGTCGTTAATAGGGGAAAATCTTTCTTTAAAAGGTAACCGGAAAAAGAGAAATTTGATTTCCCTCGTTCGGGCTTGCCTTCTATAAATTAAAACATTTTAAAAGTTTTTGGGGGGACTTTTTTGGGGGGTTTAAGAAAAATAGTTTTGAGGACAACCCAAATTTAAAAAAAGGTTTAAATTTCCGGGGTTAATATAGTAAAAAATTTTTTTTAAAAAAAAGGTTTAAATTTTTAAATGAGGTTTAAAGTTTTTGGGGTTTGTGAGAATTTTTTTTAGGGGTTTTCCAACGGTTTTGGGAAAAAATGGTTGCTAAAAGGGTAGGGTTCCCCCCGTATAGGACCCCCTTTAGGACCGGGGGGGTTTCCGTAAATTTTTTAATGCCCCGTATGAAAACCCCCCAAAACCCCTGCCCCCCAGATTTTTTTAAAAAACGGGGGTGTAAGTGATTAAAAAAACCCGGTTTGAAAAAAACCCCCGCCCCCGGCTTTGGGTGTATTGCTCGTAGGTGGGTTGACATTTAAATTGGGGGAATTTTTCCCCCAAAAAGGGGTTCTGGGTTTTGGGATAAGGTTTTTGGGGGTTTTTTTGGGGGGGGGGAAAAACCGGGGCCTTTTCCCCCCCCTTTTCCCCCTAAATTGGGAACCAGGGGACCGGGGGGTTTTGGGGACGGAGGAAAAATGAAGAAAAAGACCCCCCCCCCCCCCAAAAGGCCCCTTCCTTTTTTAAAAAACTTAGTTTTTTTATTGGGTTGTTATCCCGGGCCAAAATTTTTTTTTTTAAAAAAAAAATCCCAAAAAACCCGTAAACCATTAAAAACAAAAAAAAAACCTGTTTAAGTTTTAAAACAGAAAGTAATTTTTGAATTTTAAAAATTTTTTTTGTTTTATCTCGTTAAACAGAGATACTTCATTCAGTTAAATGAGGTAAAACCAAGTTCCCTCTCTCGTGACCCACAGTCCTTTGCTCTCCAGCACACCCTTCCTCCTAATCCAAAGGTCTGTTGGACCTAAACAGCTGAGTAAGCTCACGTATAGAAGACAAATAGGCTGCTCTCTCCGTATCAGGACCTTTCTCCTACTGATTGGACGTATCTAGGAGATGTACTCTGATAACAATGTTGGCCACACTGATCTACCCTGATCACTGATCAAACCTCGTCAACAGAACTCAGTAGAACCACCACCTGATCAACAGCATTAGTTTAGTAAAAAAACGTGTGTGTGAGTAAGTGAGTAAATACATGATGTTATCATCCGTGTTTAGAAAATAAACTCAGCCTTTGACCTCCCTTGGCTCTGGTGTATACTGCAGTCAAGTAGGTGGCGGTAATGAGCCATTAAAGTTGGTTGACAAACTCAATGAACACCACAGAAGAAGAAGCTTCTGACGTCAATATTGTGCGACCTAGAGTGTTATATGATGGGTAAGCAGAATCGAGGGGGTGTTGGGATGAAATAACTTCAGGTAGCTCATGAAATTCACGACTTTCAGTAATGAATGTCCAAATGAATACTGTAATTCCAGCGACGCTGCGGGCTATGTGGTGCTATTTCTGGCTAGTGTAACATCGTTAGCTACGAGATGCACACAGCAGCTAGTTAGATAGGTAGGTAACGTTATCACAAGCAGACAGACCATTTGGTCCATTATTAGGAACGATAACTTATCAAAGTAGCTAGACATATCTAGATACATATATTGTTTAAACGTGAATAGTTTGTTTATGAGAGTTGTTGGTTACTGCCAGGGCCTAAAATGTACTTTTTGATTTAAAAAAATCTCTACCAGACACTCAGATTGTATACCAGTCAACAAACACAAAAAACAGATGACCATGCTTTGTAATGTTTCTAAAACAAGAAATGTATTAGTAAGAAGTATTTTGGTATATTACTCAATTTCATTAACTTTTTGCTTACTCAGAGTCTTTTAATCAATAATAATAATATGCCATTTAGCAGACGCTTTTATCCAAAGCGACTTACAGTCATGCGTGCATACATTTTTGTGTATGGGTGGTCCCGGGGATCGAACCCACTACCTTGGCGTTACAAGCGCCGTGCTCTACCAGCTGAGCTACAGAGGACCACAATCAAAGTATGAGACCAAATGTTCAGGGCGAGAGGTTACCTTGGTAACGATGCCACTCGACTAGTGCATCTCTTCTCTATCCGTTGAAGCAGCAGACTCAAACTAACATTGAAAAACAACAGCGCTTGTGAAAAAACAATATACACTGAACAAACATATAAATGCAACATGCAACAATTTCAAAGATTTGACTGAGTTACAGTTCATATATCTGTCAATTTATATAAATTCATTAGGCCCTAATCTATGGATTTCACATGACTGGGAATACAGATATGCATCTGTTGGTCACAGATACCTTAAAAAAAAAAAAAGGGGGGGCCTTGTCCCACTCCTCTTCAATGGCTGTGCGAAGTGGATGGATATTGGCGGCACCAGGAACACGCTGTCGTACACGTTGATCCAGAGCATCCCAAACATGCTCAATGGGTGACATGTCTGGTGAGTATCCATGGAAGAACTGGGCCATTTTCAGCTTCCAATAATTGTGTACAGATCCTTGCAACATGGGGCTGATGAATGGCACGACAATGGGCCCGAGGATCTCATCACAGTATCTCTGTGGATTCAAATTGCCACAGATAAAATGCAATTGTATTCGTTGTCCGTAGCTTATGGCTGCCGATACCATAACCCGACCGCCACCATGGGGCACTCTGTTCACAACATTGACATCAGCAAACCACTTGCCCACACGACGCCATCTGCCCAGTACAGTTGAAACCGGAATTCATCCGTGAAGAGTACACTTCTCCAGCGTGCTAGTGGCCATCGGAGGTGAGCATTTGCCCACTGAAGTTGGTTACATCGCCGAACTGCAGTCAGGTCAAGACCCTGGTGAGGACAATGAGCACACAGATGAGCTTCCCTGAGACGGTTTCTGACAGTTTGTGCAAAAATGATTTGGTTGTGCAAACCCACAGTTTCATCAGCTGTTTGGGTGGCTCGTCTCAGACCATCCCGCAGGTGAAGAAGCCGGATGTGGAGGTCCTGGGCTGGCATGGTTACACGTGGTCTGCAGTTGTGAGGCCAATTGGACGTACTGCCAAATTCTCTAAAACTACGTTGGAGGTGGCTTATGGTAGAGAAATGAAGATTACATTCTCTGAAAACAGGTCTGGTGGACATTCCTGCAGTCAGCATGCCAATTGCACGCTCCCCTTAAAACTTGAGACATTTGTGGCATTGTGTTGTGTGACAAAACTGCACATTTTAGAGTGGCCTTTTATTGTCCCCAGCACAAGCTGCACCTGTGTAATGATCATGCTGTTTAATGAGCTTCTTGATATGCCACACCTGTCAGGTGGATGGATTATCTTGGCAAATGAGAAATGCTCACTAACAGGGATGTAAACAAAGTTGTGCACAAAATTTGAGAGAAATACGCTTGAGAGAAATAAGCTTTTTGTGCGTATGGAACATTTCTGGGATCTTTTATTTCAGCTCATGAAATATGGGACAAACACTTTACATGTTGCGTTTATATTTTTGTTCAGTATAAATAACCAAGAAACGTTCGACTTCCGAGTAAATTAGGCCATTTAAATGTTCACAGCCTCCAGAAATGAATCTATCAGGACTTCACCCTTCCAGCCAGTGCTGCTGCGCGAGGTGGGATATAGGATTTGTTTTTCTTTGTGCAATTAGCAGCTATGAAACAAAACAGAAGAAATACTTTGAAAACAGCTACTGCAGCATTTTTCTAACCCTAACTCACGTGCTCGAACTTGACTTTTGACTATTTTTATTTGCGAATGTAACACTCGTACTGTAGAACCCTGTGAATTGACCACCCGCCAATGTGGTTGGTGAAATAGACATTCTTACCCGTCAATACCTAAATTGATCCGCATTTGGTGGGTGGCAGATGTTAATTTTATGCCCTGGTTACTGCACAGAATGTCGTATTAGTTTGCTAGCTAGCTAGCTAGCAAGTTAGCTGTTGACGTTCAGACAGACTAACTTAGCTAGCTAGTGTCTACTGAGTCTGACAATCAACTGTTTATGTTTACACACGTGTTCGGAGCATGCTAGATAGCTAATTAGCACAGGTGGTCGCCTCTTGTCTGTTTTCCATAAACAAGCGCTGTAAAATGGAGATATGGCCGTGTGGGAAAACTAACCATAACCCTATCAAGGTGTGAATCTATTTAACCTTTGGTTTTTTGAAAATTATTTCTTGCTGATATGAAAGATAAGTTCCTTATGCTTCCAAAACCGTGCCGCAAGCGATGCATGTTCAATGTGAAGTGTAATGTAATGGTCATGAGAGTCATGATCAATGGCTAGCCCATAAGCAGCTTGTTGCTGCTCTGTCATTCAACCTAATAAAGTGAGTGAGATGGTTGTAGCTAGCTAACATATTAATTCATTAATTCATTCAACTTAATAAAGTGACTGAGTAGGGCTGTACATTGCAATAAATACTGACTGTACAAAACATTAGGAACATCTTCCTAATATTGAGTTGCACCCCCTATTGCCCTCGGAACAGCCTCAAGTCGTCGGGGCATGGACTCTACAAGGTGTCGAACGCGTTCCACAGGGATGTTGGCCCATGTTGACTCCAATAGTTGTGTGAAGTTGGCTGGATGTCCTTTGGGTGGTGGACCATTCTTGATACACATTCTGTCACCTCTGATCTCTTGGCCCTCCCACCCCTACGGGAGGGCAGCTCCCCCTCAGCCCAGTCCAAGCTCTCTGTCCTGGCACCCCAATGGTGGAACCATTTCCCCCCTGAAGCTAGGATAGCAGAGTCCCTGCTCATCTTCCGAAAACATCTGAAACCCTACCTCTTCAAATAGTATCCTAAATAATCCCACAGCACCACAGCCCCCCCCCCCCCCCCACCCCCCCAAAAAAGAAAAAAGAAATGCCTTTCGGGAACTAGCACTTAATTTTTTTTCTTACTAGCTCTGGCTTTTCTGATAGCTACGTTATTAAGGAAAAAGGTACTGACTATGCCTGTGATATGTGGTTGTTCCATCTAGCTATCTTAAGATGAATGCACTAACTGTAAGTCGCTCTGGATAAGAGTGTCTGCTAAATGACTAAAATGTAAATTAAATTAAACTGTTGAGAGTGAAAAACTTAGCAGCGTTGCAGTTCTTGACACACTCAAACTGGTGCGCCTGGCACCTACTACCATACCCGGTTCAAAGGCACTTGACTCAGTACCGGTACCCCCTGTATATAGCCTCATTATTGTTATTTTATTGTGTTACTTTTTTTTTTTAAACGTTCGTTATTTAGTAAATATTTTCTTAACTCTTATTTTTCTTAACTGCATTGTTGGTTAAGGGCTTGTAAGTAAGCATTCTTTAACTTGTCTCCTCCCCTTCATCTACACTGATTGAAGTGGATTTAACAAGTGACATCAATAAGGGAGGATAGCTTTAACCTGGATTCACCTGGTCAGTCTATGTCATAGGAATTTCCTAATGTTTTGTCCACCCTTCTGAAGTCTATACATCTACAGTGCGATTTCAACTGATTGTTTTGTCAAATTCGCTCATTATTGACCTTTATTGAATTAATAAAACCATTCATACATTGCTTTGCATTATCTGTTTGCATCCAGTTTTTTCAATGGGGGACTTTTATTTTGAAGGCAAACCGCCTCACGCTAATGTTGTTTATAACACAGACATGGCGGCCCTCCCATTAGGGAGGCATCCGACTAGTGCAGCAGATTGATGAGGGCAGCATAGTAGAAATAGGTAGTAGCCTACAGACTGTTTTTTAAAATCAGATCTTACTCCTTGACTGATATACCTGATGTGGAATAGAGTTCCATGTAGTCATGGCCAATGTAGTACTGTGCACCTCCCATAGTCTCTTCTGGATTTGGGGACTGTGAAGAGACCTCTGGTGGCATGTATTGTGGGGTATGTATGCATGTCCGAGCTGTGTGCCAGTTGCTAAAACAGACAACTTGTGATTTCAACATGTCAATACCAGTCACAAAGGCAAGCAGTGAAGCAGTCAATCTCTCCACCCTGAGCGATTGACATGCATATTATCAATGCTGGCTCTCTGTGTGCATCTAAGGGCCAGCTGTGCTCCTCTGTTCTGAGCCAATTGTAATTTGCCTATGTCCTTCTTTGTGGCATTTGGCCATATGACTGGGCAGTAGTCTCCCAACCATCCAAGAACAGTTTGGTGATCTGACCACACTACTGAACATTAGTCCAGGTGCGACAAAACTAGGTCCTGTAGTACTTGTTTTGTTGATAGCGGTGTCAAGAACGCAGAGCAGCGCTTTATTATGGACAGACCTCTCCCCATCTTAGCTACTGTTGCATCAATATGTTTTGACCATGACAGTTTACAATCCAAGGTTACACCAAGCAGTTTAGTCTCCTCAGCTTGCTCAATTTACACATTATACATTACAAGATTTAGTTGAGGTTTATGGTTTACTGAATGTTTTGTCCCAAATACAATTTTATTAGTTTCTGAAATATTTAGGACTAACTTATTTATTTCCACCCATTCTGAAACTAACTGCAGCTCTTTGTTAAGTGTTGCAGTGATTTCACTTGATGTGGTAGCTGATGTGTACAGTCTTGGTCAAAAGTTTTGAGAATGACACAAATATTAATTTTCACAAAGTCTGCTGCCTCAGTTTTTATGATGGCAATATGCATATACTCCAGAATGTTATGAAGAGTGATCAGATGAATTGCAAAGTCCCTCTTTGCCATGAAAATGAACTTAATCCCCAAAAAAACATGTCCACTTCATTTCAGCCCTGCCACAAAAGGACCAGCTGACATCATGTCAGTGATTATCTCGTTAACACAGGTGAGAGTGTTGACGAGGACAAGGCTGGAGATCACTCTGTCATGCTGATTGAGTTAGAATAACAGACTGGAAGCTTTAAAAGAAGGGTGGTGCTTGAAATCATTGTTCTTCCTCTGTTAACCATGGTTACCTGCAAGGAAACACATGCCGTCATCATTGCTTTGCACAAAAAGGGCTTCACAGGCATGGATATTGCTGCTAGTAAGATTGCACCTAAATCAACCATTTATCGGATCATCAAGAACTTCAAGGAGAGAGGTTCAATTGTTGTGAAGAAGGCTTCAGGGCGCCCAAGAAAGTCCAGCAAGCGCCAGGACCGTCTCCTAAAGTTGATTCAGCTGCGGGATCGGGGCACCACCAGTGCAGAGCTTGCTCAGGAATGGCAGCAGGCAGGTGTGAGTGCATCTGCACGCACAGTGAGGCGAAGACTTTTGGAGGATGGCCTGGTGTCAAGAAGGGCAGCGAGGAAGCCACTTCTCTCCAGGAAAAACATCAGGGACAGACTGATATTCTGCAAAAGGTACAGGGATTGCACTGCTGAGGACTGGGGTAAAGTCATTTTCTCTGATGAATCCCCTTTCCGATTGTATGGGGCATACGGAAAAAAGCTTGTCCGGAGAAAACAAGGTGAGCGCTACCATCAGTCAAGGGAGTGGGCTCACTCACAATTTTGCCTAAGAACACAGCCATGAATAAAGAATGGTACCAACACATCCTCCGAGAGCAACTTCTCCCAACCATCCAAGAACAGTTTGGTGACGAACAATGCCTTTTCCAGCATGATGGAGCACCTTGCCATAATGCAAACGTGATAACTAAGTGGCTTGGGGAACAAAACATCGACATTTTGGGTCCATGGCCAGGAAACTCCCCAGACCTTAATCCCATTGAGAACTTGTGGTCAATCCTTTAGAGGCGGGTGGACAAACAAAAACCCACAAATTCTGACAAACTCCAAGCATTGATTATGCAAGAATGGGCTGCCATCAGTCAGGATGTGGCCCAGAAGTTAATTGACAGCATGCCAGGGCGGATTGCAGAGGTCTTGAAAAAAAAGGGTCAACACTGCAAATATTGACTCTTTGCATAAACGTAATGTAATTGTCAATAAAAGCCTTTGACTCTTATGGAATGCTTGTAATTATACTTCAGTATACCATAGTAACATCTGACAAAAATATCTAAAAACACTGAAGCAGCAAACTTTGTGAAGACCAATACTTGTGTAATTCTCAAAACTTTTGACCACGACTGTATAGTGTTGAGTCATCAGCATACATAGACACACAGGCTTTACTCAGTGCCAGTGGCATCATTAGTCAAGTTTTAAAAAGTAAGGGGCCTAGACAGCTGCCCTGGGGAATGCCTGACTCTATCTGGATTATGTTGGAGAGGCTTCCAGGACCGACTTTGGGAAACCCTGTGCTAAAATAATAAATTGTTAAATGTAAATGTAAACAAACACTATATAGCCTAAAAACATGGTTAAAACTATAATTGTTATATCATGGATGGTCAGTCATTGCATCCAAAGCATTATGAATTTTAAGTTCTTGCATCCATCTTCAGCTTTTTACCGAAACGGGGGGCGGGGAACTGCTTCGTTATTGTTTAAACTGCTGATTGACGATTTAAAGTCTTGGAATGTATCACCATTTCTCTGGGTTATTCACTGGGTTAATTTACTAGTACAATCGATCTTATTGGCAGCATTTGCATTAAATGCCTAGTGCAGTCAAAAACTTAATTTTCCTGTGTTTTCTATATATTTCCACACTATGAGGAATAATACTGTGAAATTCAAAAAATTATGATAATGCCCTTTGGTGGGATGGAGTTTTGGACGTGCCTGGTGACATCACCAGGCGGTAAATTAGTTAATAAACCAATAAGAAAGATCGTTCCAAACCTCTCTGCCAATAACAGCTAGTTCTTCCCATTTTAATTGAAAACAATCACGGTAAGGTACTTAATTAAATCCCAGAAATGATTTGATATTGAGATAAAAACGTCTGCATTGGACCTTTTAGATAAATGTGAAGTTAACCCGAGATTGTTTAGTTTATAATGATCTCTTACTTTTCCCCATTTGAACAGATACAAGCAAGAAAGGAGGCAAGAAGAAGGGTGGTTCCATGCAGACTGTATCCTCCCAGTTCAGGGTGAGCTTTTGACATGTGTATTTTCAGTCCTTCAAATAGTGCATTGATTATCATAAATTACTAATGAAAACATGGTTTGTAACCCTCTTACAGGAGAACTTGGGCAAGCTGATGACCAACTTGAGGAGCACTCATCCTCACTTTGTGCGCTGCCTGATCCCCAACGAGTCAATGACTCCAGGTACAAGAAATATTGAGTTAAATATTATATGTTATCAGTAATCCTAACGAGCACACTCTTGAACCAGTTTCTGAGTATTAAAAGAGACTTGGTTTGTTTTTCCAGGTCTGATGGAGAACTTCCTGGTTATCCACCAGCTCAGGTGTAACGGTGTACTGGAGGGTATCAGGATCTGCAGGAAGGGCTTCCCCAGCAGAATCATCTATGCTGACTTCAAGCAGAGGTACACACACATTCACATTACATTTACATTTGTGTCATTTAGCAGATGCTGTTGTCCAGCAGCATGACACCCTGCTTCCCACTGCTGGCTTGCCTCTGAAGCTAAGCAGGGTTGGTCCTGGATGGGAGACCAGATGCTGCTGGAAGTGGTGTTGGAAGGCCAGTAGAGGGCGCTCTTCCCTCTGCTCTGAGGAGATCCCAATGCGCCAGGGCAGTTAAACGGGTGTCCTGACTCTCTGTGGACATTCAAAATCCCATGGCATGAAACGTAAGAGCGCGGGTGTTATTAACCCCCGGTCTCCTGGCTTCATCTCCAATCTGACCACCTAATCATCCCCTTTCCAATTGGTTCATTCCTCTCCCCTGTAACTATTCCCCAGGTTGTTGCTGGAAATGAGAATGTGTTCTCAGTCAACTCACCTGGTAAAAAATATATCCTTTTCGTACTGGTCCCCCGCACGCACACACAAAACCACGGAAAAGATCTACTCTAAAGGTTTTCCCTGCATGAGAATATGCTTTCCTTTAACGTAATATAACCAACCTATTGCAACTTGACATATGTTAAACATGTCTCCTCATTCAGGTATAAAGTACTGAATGCCAGTGTCATCCCTGAAGGCCAGTTCATGGACAACAAGAAGGCTTCTGAGAAGCTGCTTGGGTCCATTGATGTGAATCACGAGGATTACAAGTTTGGACACACCAAGGTCAGTCAAATACCCCCAGCAAAAGCTGACAACAAAACACAACTTCAATGATCATTTAAACCCTTACCATTCAAAATCTCTCCAGTTGATCTCTCCAGTTGATCTCTCCAGTTGATCTCTCCAGTTGATCTCTCCAGTTGATCTCTCCAGTTGATCTCTCCACCCTGTTAGTCTTTCTTCTTCATGAAGCTAATATAAGAAGGTGGAGAAACATTGTACTGTTGTTTTCTTCAAGTAAAGAAGAGATGAATTAACCTGTGCATTGTGTTACAGTGGTATGGCTGCAGTTATCTGTATCGGTTTACATTATTCATCTACAACTGTACAATACAAATCAAATGTTATTGGTCATATACACATATTTAGCAGATGTTATTGCGGGTGTAGCGAAATGCTTGTGTTCCGAGCTCCAACAGTGCAGTAGTATCTAACAATACACAACAATACACACTAATCTAAAAGTAAAAGAATGGAATTAAGACATTTATAAATATTAGATTGAGCAATGTTGGAGTGGCATTGACTAAAATACAGTAGAATATAATACAGTGTATATATATATATATATATATATATATGAGATGAGTAAAGCAGTATGTAAACATTATTAAAGTGACTAGTGTTCCATTATTAAAGTGGCCAGTGATTCCATGTCTATGTACATAGGGCAGCAGCCTCTAAGGTGCAGGGTTGAGTAACCAGGTGGTAGCCGGCTAGTGATGGATATTTAACAGTCTGATGGCCTTGAGATGTAACCAGGTGGTAGCCGGCTAGTGATGGCTATTTAACAGTCTGATGGCCTTGAGATGTAACCAGGTGGTAGCCGGCTAGTGATGGCTATTTAACAGTCTGATGGCCTTGAGATATACCTTACAACTTATGAACACACTATCCCATGGTCTGTTTGTGGTGTTGTTCCTCTCTTTTGATTGAAACTTTCTATCTGCCACCATCTGACTGGCTCCCTAATTGACCATGTTTACATGTGGCTCAGGTGTTCTTCAAAGCCGGTCTGCTGGGTGTCCTGGAGGAGATGAGAGATGAGAAGCTGGCCTCTCTGGTCGGCATGGTCCAGGCTCTCAGCCGTGGATTCCTCATGAGGAGAGAGTTCACCAAGATGATGGAGAGGAGGTGAGGAATAGCAGACATCTTGGCAAAGCTTCCTGTCAACCACCTGTATGTAATGAATTATGATTCCATACTGTATATGCTGTGAGTTGTTCACAATGAGAAAGTACGTCTTATAATGTTCTATTAAAGCTGCAGTTTAGGATTTGGCAAGCTGTTCAATTGTCATTTAAATGTGTCATATTTACCCATTGATTCTTGAAGAATATGAAATGCCTCATGAGCTTAGCATGACCTGTAAGTCCTTGAATATAGAGCGCTGTCTATGAATTTAAGAGAGGTCCCTTGCCGCCTTCCTCAGCTGTATACAGTTTTGTTGTTCTTCCTCTCGCAGAATGTAGCTTGTCAGTCACCATACCACTTTATCCTTTCTGTTGACCAGAGATGCCGTCTACTCCATCCAGTACAACATCCGCTCATTCATGAATGTAAAAACCTGGCCATGGATGAAGGTGTACTTCAAGATCAAGCCCCTACTGAAGAGTGCTGAGACTGAGAAGGAGATGGCCAACATGAAGGAGAACTATGAGAAGATGCAGACAGACCTGGCCAAGGCTCTGGCCAAGAAGAAGGAGTTGGAGGAGAAGATGGTGACCCTGCTGCAGGAGAAGAATGACCTGGCACTCCAAAACGCATCTGTGAGTGAGCAACAACCTTCATAAGAGTAATTTACCACACCTGATACACACCAGAGCCAGCAGCAGACAGACACACACACACCCTTTCAAAATCTCCAAAACACTGCTCTACTTTTTTTTACATCCTGAGACTGTCACTTTTACCCCTACCACGAAATATCAATACCAAACCCGCTGCTACCCGTTTTACTTTCCGATTTACTCTCTTTTACCCCCACCTACTGTACAATTACCTCACTACCAACTGCTGCACCTTTTTTATTATCTATCCTGATTGGCTTCCTTTTTCCCCTACCTACAGGACATTTACCTCAACTACCAAAAATCTGCTACTCTGTTTATTTTTACTGATTTTAGTACTTTTTCCCCTACCCACAGACTTTACCTCACACCAAACTCGCTACTCTGTTATTTCTATCCGTTGACTGCCTTTTTAAAACCCCACCAAGTACATATTACCTCAATCCAACACTGCTGCTACCCCGTTTTTTAAACTTCCTGATTGCCCAGTCCTTTACCCCCACCACTTTACTTTACCCCCCCAAAACTGCTGCACTCTGGTTTATTCTACCGATTGATAGTCCTTTTTTCCCCTACCTACATGTCTATTACCTCAACTACCAACACTGCGCACTTGTTTTTTTTCTTCCGATTATAGCTCTTTTACCCCTACTACATTCATTTACCTTCAACTACCAAACCCGCTGCTACTCTGTTTATTATCTATCCTGATTGTTAATTTTCCCCTACCTACATTACCTATACCTCAACTACCAACACTGCTGCTACTCTTTTATTATCTATCCGAGACTAGTCCTTTTTTCCCCCCTAATGTACAATTTTCCTCAACTACCCAAAACCCGCTTTAAATCTTTTTATTACCATTGCTAGTCACTTTACCCCTACCTACATGTACTATTTCCTCAACTACCCAAAACTGCGCTACTTGTTTTTATCTATCCGATTCTAGTCCTTTACCCCCCCTTTGACATTTACCTAACACCAACCCTGCTGCACTCTGTTATTATTATCCGATTTTGTCACTTTTACCCCTACCTAATGTACTTACCTCAAAATACCAAAACTGCTTACTTTTTATTATCTTCCCCATGGACTAGTCCTTTTTTCCCCTCCTACATTAATTTACCCAAATACCAACATGCTGCACTCGTTTTTATCTATCCTGATGACTTCCTTTTACCCCACCACATGTACAATTACCTCAATACCAACATGCTGTACCTGTTTATTATCTTCCTGATTTATAGTCCTTTTTTCCCCACTACATGTCATTTACCTCAAAAACCCAAAACCTTTCTGCTACCCTTTTTTATTAAACTATCCTATTGATAGCCTTTACCCCCCCCTCATGTACTATTCCTCAACACCAAAACTGTGCACTCTTTATTTTCACCCGATTGCTATCCTTTTACCCCTACCCACTTTCTTTACCCTCAACTACCAAAACCGCTACTCTTTTTTATTACTATCCCGATTTACTGTCCTTTTACCCCTACCTACAGTACATATTACCTCAACACCAAACTGCTGTATCTGTTTATTTTTCCTGATTTACTAGTCACTTTTCCCCCCCCACCTACATATTTCCCACTACCAACCTGTGCACTCTGTTTATTTTTCCTGATTACTATCCTTTTTCCCCCCCTAATTACTATTACCCACTCCCAAAACGGTAATCGATTTTCCCCTTTGCCCCCCAAAAAACCCCTTAATAAAACCCCAAACCCAAAGGGTCAACCTTGGGGGGTTTATTTGGGAGCTTTCTCCCAGGTCAATTCCTTAATAAAAACCTGTTCGTTGTTCAGAGAATTTTTTTGGGAAAAGGGCCACGTCTGTACTAACTAACCCTTTTATGCACAAGACAAGACAAACCCCCCAAATCAAGTCTACCTGAAAAATACTAAAAACAACCTTGGAAAAATTTTAATGGCCCGGTTTTAAATTTTCAGAACTAAACCCCAAATTGAGATTTGTCAAAATTTAAAGGCATTTTATGCTTAAAAACCCAAACCCTCCCGTTTAACTTCTCATGGAAGGTTGCCTTCCTCCAACGTAAATAATCAACAAACTCAGGAGATTTTTGGTTGATTTATTCCCCTAAAGGGGGCAAACCTTATTTTAAGGGGGATTACTTTTTCCACAGGGGGATTGGGTATGCAACGGTTTTTAAAAAATGTAATTTTTTGGTTTATTTTTTTTTCATGTTTCCCTTATTAATTTTTTTGGGTTAAATTATAACTTCATATCCCTATCAAAATAAAAATTAAAAGGGGGCAAAAACTTTTTCAACATTTTCTCCCGTTTTAATTTGAAAAGAAATCTGATGATTTCAAGGAAACTTAAATGTTTTCCCGATGAACCAAAAATGGCTCTTTGATAATCAATCCCGGTTGGGGGAAGAAACTCCCATGCCCAAAACCATCCCCCCTCAAACGGAATGAAAAATTACTTTTGGGGTGTTTTTCCCCTAAGGGAAAAAGGACCCCCCCACAAAACAACGGGGCCCTGTTTCCGCAAAACTTGGGTTTAAACTTTCCCCCTCCCAGGGATTTTAAAATGGGTCTATGGGTTTTTTTTCCGATTTAAAAATTTTTCCCAAAAACCCCAAAACAAAGGGTGGCTCAAGAAGGAAACCTTTTTCCTAGTCCAACCATCCCAACCTTATCCCTAAATTTAGGATAAGGCGGGGCCCAAAATCCCCTCAAAAATTAAAATTAAAAAAATTCAAAAGGGGGTTTGGCCAAAACTCTCCCAAATTTCAACCTGTGGCCAAATCGAAATTACCCCTGTTTATGCCAAAAAGGGGTTTCCCCAAATAAGTCATTTTTCAGACCCAAATCTTATTTCATTAAAAGCAAATCATTTATAAATTTTTTTACAACATTTTTTTGGGTATTTGTTGTTATTCTGCTTTTACTTTCAATAAATGCCCATTAAAATGGAGATATTTCTTTGTCACTTTCCCCCAACCTACATGAACAATACTTTTTTCCCCCATGTACTTAAATTATCAACTATTTGGTGTTCTTTACTAAATTCTTTTTAATTATAATTTCATTTGCATTGTTTTTAAAAGCCTGAAATGGTATATTCTCTTCCCTTTAATAACCAACCAACCAACCTGCAAAAAATGGTTTTTTTTCTAGGGAAACTTTAAACCACCCAGCTCCTCACAAATTGGGATGAACATCCTGGACCATCAAAAGAAGATCAAAACCAGGGCTGTACGGGAAAAAATTTTCCGGGGTCATTAAACCCCTTCAGGCTAAAACTCCCAAGGGGGGTAAATCTGGGATCCAGGGGTGTCAGGATTAACTCCAATGTCAACAACTCCAAATGTCAATCTGGAATCAACGTACAAACTGATTTCCCCAACTGTAAATCAAGGCTAGGGCTGAGGGGTAAGGATCCAGGGTGAAGGAAAAAGGGGGGGGGGGAAAAAAGGAGAAAAGGGAAAAATATAAATCTTTCCCAGGTAACACTATTTCCCAACCCCCAAGTTTAAAAAACAAAAAAAACAATGTATTCACTAACTGTAAGTTGCTCTGGATAAGAGCGTCTGCTAAATGACTAAAATGTAAATGCAAATGTAGTACACAATATAATGTGTTGAGGGCTTCAAGTCCAGTCCACATTAAAATATTTGGATAAAAGCATCTGATAAATGACATATATTATAACATAGTTTCTACTGAACTGTTCACCACCTAACATTGCCCTACAATACCTCAAAATACATTTTCAATCATAGAGAACAGAGAAACCATTAACAAGATGTCCCTCTATCTCTGCAGGTGAGTTTGGCCGCCAGCTGGAGGAGAAGGAAGCCCTGGTGTCTCAGCTAACCAGAGGCAAACAGGCCTTCACCCAGCAGGTGGAGGAGCTGAAGAGGCAGATTGTGGAGGAGGTCAAGGTAAGGGACCCAATATGGACTCCACCAACCACAGAGTTTAGAGAAATATCTACATATATTAGCGGTGACTACGCCACCTTCAGACACTTCTACTTTCATTTGTTTTACTATCTCTCTAATCTCTCTGTTTTTCCCTTTCTCTCTCACAGGCTAAAAACGCGCTGGCCCATGGTGTCCAGTCTGCCCGCCATGACGGTGACCTCCTGAGGGAGCAGTTTGAGGAGGAGCAGGAGGCCAAAGCAGAGCTGCAACGCGGCATGTCCAAGGCCAACAGCGAGGTGGCTCAGTGGAGGACTAAGTATGAAACTGATGCCATTCAGCGCACAGAGAAGCTTTAGGAGGCCAAGGCAGAGCTGCAACGCGGCATGTCCAAGGCCAACAGCGAGGTGGCTCAGTGGAGGACTAAGTATGAAAACTGATGCCATTCAGCGCACAGAGAAGCTTTAGGAGGCCAAGGCAGAGCTGCAACGCGGCATGTCCAAGGCCAACAGCGAGGTGGCTCAGTGGAGGACTAAGTATGAAATTGATGCCATTCAGTGCACAGAGAAGCTTTAGGAGGCCAAGGCAGAGCTGCAACGCGGCATGTCCAAGGCCAACAGCGAGGTGGCTCAGTGGAGGACTAAGTATGAAACTGATGCCATTCAGCGCACAGAGAAGCTTTAGGAGGCCAAGGCAGAGCTGCAACGCGGCATGTCCAAGGCCAACAGCGAGGTGGCTCAGTGGAGGACTAAGTATGAAACTGATGCCATTCAGCGCACAGAGAAGCTTTAGGAGGCCAAGGCAGAGCTGCAACGCGGCATGTCCAAGGCCAACAGCGAGGTGGCTCAGTGGAGGACTAAGTATGAAACTGATGCCATTCAGCGCACAGAGAAGCTTTAGGAGGCCAAGGCAGAGCTGCAACGCGGCATGTCCAAGGCCAACAGCGAGGTGGCTCAGTGGAGGACTAAGTATGAAACTGATGCCATTCAGCACACAAAGGAGCTGGAGGAGGCCAAGGCAGAGCTGCAACAACCCGTGGTGGAAAAAGTACCCAATTGTCATACTTGAGTAAAAGTAAAGATATCTTATTAGAAAATGACTCAAGTAAATGTAAAAGTCACCCAGGAAAATACTACTTGAGTAAAAGTCTAAAGATATTTGGTTTTAAATATACTTAAGTATCAAAAGTAAATGTAATTTCAAAAATATGCTTAAGTATCAAAAGTAAAAGTAAAATTATAAATAATTTCAAATTCCTTATATTAGGCAAACCAGATGGCACAATTTTCTAGTTTTTTATTTAACTTACGGATAGCCAGGTGCACACTCAGACATAATTTACAAACGAAGCAAGTGTGTTTAGTGAGTCCGCCAGATCAGAGGCAGTAGGGATGACCAGGGATGTTGTCTTGATAAGTGTGTGAATTTGACAATATTTCTGTCCTGCTAACCTTTCAAAATGTAACGAGTTCTTTTGGGTGTCAGGGAAAATGTATGGAGTAAAAAGTACATTTTTTTCTTTAGGAATGTAGTGAAGTAAAAGTTGTCCAAAATATAAATAGTAAAGTACAGATACCCCAAAAAACTACTGAAGTACTTTCAAGTATTTTTACTTAAGTATTTTACACCACTGGCAACAACTCACGTGACCGACCTGCTCGATTTGGTCTAATGTAGCAAAATTTGAAATGGTGTTTTTTTACATTGGATAAAAGTAGAGACTCAGAGCTAGAAAATGGTATATCATACACTACAGTTGAGGAACAATGGGAAAGTAATTCTGCTTTGAAAGTTGATAAACTTGTAACCCCACTTTTGAGAAAATGACCCTTGAATGTTTTTGTACCTACTGGAGAGCTCTTCTTTGTCTACACCCATTCAGCATCGTTCACACCCTCTTAAGCTTTAGCCCCACTCATTTCTTTAAGGATTCACATGTGAGGCCATGTGCTAAACAGAGTGAGTAGTGTAGTAAACAACCAAATATTTCAAGAGTAAAAGTGGTGAAAATAGTAGCCTACAATAAGGATAAACTCCAGGTACAAATACACTATCTGGTCCTTGGTCTATATCCTAATCAGACTTTGGTGCAGGTCATGTTGTTCTTCACATTACCGTCTCTGGTAAACACACTATATCAAATAAAATATATGTTTATTTGTCACGTGCACAGGATACAGAAAGTGTAAACAGTACAGTGAAATGGTTACTTGCATAGTAGCAATATCAAAAATAGAAAGTGTCCCAAAAAAAATATTGTATAAATATTTTATAATTATTGGATGATGCTTACCCAGACACTAGGGGTGTGCTGAGTAGTCGGACAAAACGAGTATCTAACGGATATGGGCAATTTTCTGCATACGATTATGATCCAAGTATTTTTTTGTAATTATCTGTGATAGGAAAAAAGTATTTCCCGGTGCCAGCGAGCATGTTTTTCATGTGTCAGTCACAGTGCTTCCAAACCGTTCTGTACTGTCTGAGTCAGTCACAGTGCTTCCAAACCGTTCTGTACTGTCTGAGTCAGTCACAGTGCTTCCAAACCGTTCTGTACTGTCTGAGTCAGTCACAGTGCTTCCAAACCGTTCTGTACTGTCTGAGTCAGTCACAGTGCTTCCAAACCGTTCTGTACTGTCTGAGTCAGTCACAGTGCTTCCAAACCGTTCTGTACTGTCTGAGTCAGTCACAGTGCTTCCAAACCGTTCTGTACTGTCTGAGTCAGTCACAGTGCTTCCAAACCGTTCTGTACTGTCTGAGTCAGTCACAGTGCTTCCAAACCGTTCTGTACTGTCTGGTCAGTCAATGCTCCAACGGTCTGTATGTTGAGTCGTCGTGTTCAAGTCTAGATATGACTCAACTGGGTAGTTTGTACTGTCTAGCAGTCAAGTGCTCAAACCTTCTACTGCTGGCGTAGTGTTCACCGTTCTGAGTCTGTCTGATACTCAGTGCTCCACCGTTTTGCGTCGTCTTCAACGTTCTGAGTCTAGTCTAATACTCACATGGCTCAAGTTTGCTGTCTGAGTCAGTCACATACTCCAAACGTGCTAGTTGCTGTCTGAGTCAGTCACATACTCAACGCTAGTTTGCCTGTCTGAGTCAGTCTACAATGTACTAAACCGTTAGTATGCCTGTCAGTCAACAGGACAAAAGCGAGCTGTACTGTTGTCATCCGCTGCTTCAATTGAATAGTTGAGTGTATTTCTCCACCACGTCTGTCTTCATAATTTCACACCGTTTAGTTTTCCTGAGTGTTTTCAGTGCTTCAACTTTGATGTGCTGTGCCTGCTTCACCGTTGTAACTCAGCAGCCAGTGCTTGCAAGCGCTGTGTTGTGCCAGATGTTAAAGCTTATTCGAGTCAGTCATGATTCCAAACCGTTCGGGTTGTCTGATTTTCAGTCACAGTTCTTCCCAACGGTACTGCTGGTCAGTACATGCTTCCAACGTCTGTCTTTGAGTCAGTCACAGTGCTTCCAAACCGTTCTGTACTGTCTGATCAGTCACAGTGCTTCCAAACCGTTCTGTACTGTCTGTGTCAGTCTAAATAACTCAACTGGCTAGTTTGCCTGTCTGTGTCAGTCTAAATAACTCAACTGGCTAGTTTGCCTGTCTGAGTCAGTCTAAATAACTCAACTGGCTAGTTTGCCTGTCTGAGTCAGTCTAAATAACTCAACTGGCTAGTTTGCCTGTCTGAGTCAGTCTAAATAACTCAGCTGGCTAGTTTGCCTGTCTGAGTCAGTCTAAATAACTCAACTGGCTAGTTTGCCTGTCTGAGTCAGTCTAAATAACTCAACTGGCTAGTTTGCCTGTCTGTGTCAGTCTAAATAACTCAACTGGCTAGTTTGCCTGTCTGTGTCAGTCTAAATAACTCAACTGGCTAGTTTGCCTGTCTGAGTCAGTCTAAATAACTAAACTGGCTAGTTTGCCTGTCTATAAAGACATGGGCGAGCTGTACGTTGATCCCGCTGCTCTGATTGAATAGATTGAAGCTGTATTTCTCCATCCACTCGCTTCATAATTTCACCCGATCAGTTTTCCTTGCATGTTTTCAGTCTGATCATTTAGATTGCTGCTGCCTGCTACTATGATAAATCACACGGCGAGGGGCTTTGACGAAGGCCTTGTGGCCGATAAGTAAAGCTTAATAAAGAGCAGTGATACTATCAAGAGCAGTGTGCGGGTTTCTTATTTTTTCACATGTTATTCATCACCCCCAGACACACCAGGTTAACTTGATGGGTCATGTAATCATCTGGCCAACTGGAGTCTTTTTAGGCATGTAGCTAGCTAGCTAAACAATGAACCATAATCCTAACCCATACTACTAGCAATACAAACTGATTGTAGTAATATTATTTGTATCTCAGAAATCCATTTGCATTGCTCGTTATAGCCTAATGTTAGCTAGCTAGCTAATATTGAACCTAATATATTAGCTTTAGCTACCTGCAGATTCATACTACAGCATTTCATGCATGGTGGCTAGCTATGACACAGATCATACCTGCTAAACTGTGTACGTGACCAATACAATTAGATTTCTTGCTGATCTCCTCAAGCTCCCTGGAGAGATCGTCCCTCTACTTTTCAACCTACTAGAAAGTGTCTGCCCTCAGGCCTGGAAGGAAGCAAAAGTAATTCCCCTACCTAAGAATAGTAAAGCCCCCTTTACTGGCTCAAATAGCCGACCAATCAGCCTGTTACCAACCCTTAGTAGACTTTTGGAAAAAATTGTGTTTGACCAGATACAATGCTATTTTACAGTAAACAAGTTGACAACAGACTTTCAGCATGCTTATAGGGAAGGACATTCAACAAGCACAGCACTTACACCAATGACTGATGATTGGCTGAGAGGAATTGTTGAATAAAAGATTGTGGGGGCTGTTTTGTTAGACTTAGATCATAGTCTGCTAATGGAAAAACGTATGTGTTAAGGCTTTACACCCCCTGCTATATTGTGGATAAAGAGTTACCTGTCTAACAGAACACAGAGGGTGTTGTTTAATGGAAGCCTATCCAATATAATCCAGATAGAATCAGGAATTCCCCAGGGCAGCTGTCTAGGCCCCTTACTTTTTTCAATCTTTACTAACGACATGCCATTGGCTTTGAGTAAAGCCAAAGTGTCTATGTATGCGGATGACTCAACACTATACATGTCAGCTACTACAGCGACTGAAATGACGGCAACACTTAACAAAGATCTGCAGTTAGTTTCAGAATGGGTGGCAAGGAATAAGTTAGTCCTAAATAATTCAAAAACTAAAAGCATTGTATTTGGGACTAATCATTCACTAAACCCTAAACCTCAACTACATCTTGTAATGAATAATGTGGAAATTGAGCAAGTTGAGGTGACTAAACTTCTTGGAGTAACCCTGGATTGTAAACTGTCATGGTCAAAACATATTGATACAACAGTAGCTAAGATGGGGAGAAGTCTGTCCATAATAAAGCGCTGCTCTACCTTCTTAACAGCACTATCAACAAGGCAGGTCCTAAAGGCCCTAGTTTGGTCGCACCTGAACTACTGTTCAGTTGTGTGGTCAGGTGCCACAAAGAGGGACTTAGGAAAATTGTAATTGGCTCAGAACAGGGCAGCACGGCAGGCCCTTAAAAGTACACGTAGAGATAACATTCATAATATGCATGTAAATCTCTCATGGCTCAAAGTGGAGGAGAGATTGACTTCATCACTACTTGTATTTATGAGAGGTATTGACATGTTGAATGCACGGAGCTGTCTGTTTAAACAACTAGCACACAGCTCAGACACCCCTGCATACCCCACAAGATATGCACCAGAAGTCTCTTCACAGTCCCTAAGTCCAGAACAGACTATGGGAGGCGAACAGTACTACATAGAGCCATGACTACATGGAACTCTATTCCACATCAGGTAACTGATGCAAGTAGGATAATCAGATTTTAAAACAGATACA